ATAAATTTTATTAGTCGTCCCCCGATGATTCCAGCTTGGTTAGCGAAACGCTTGTAATATACTATGCAGTACTTATGTTTTTGTAGCATCTGATCAGGGGTTGTAACCCTGTTCGGGTTACCATTTTTTAATTAAAATGTTCAATAACTTTTACATTTATCGAACAATTGTTTTCAAATACAATAGGGTTCTTCCTCCAACTAATAGTAACTTACATTTCAAATTCCAATACGATCAGACTTTCCACTCTTAAGTTATCGTGCTTACAAAAAACGTGACGGACGGATGGACAGACAGACGGACGGACGGACAGACAGACGAACATTTTAAAAGTCATTCAGAACACAATGATATGAGCAATATTTACTATTTTAAAAATGCAATATACTCTTCGTTTTAGTTGCGAAGAGTATAATGATACACTGTAGGGTTGTTGAAAGAAGCAAATAAAATAATAAGGAGTAGACATGAGTATTTGATTTAGCTTTACTATGAATCTATTCTAGTATTACTATATTAATATATAAAATTTTACGTGGGGAAGCGTGAGGAAGTTAACTATTACATTAAGGATTTTAGAACAATACGTAAATATTTGGCACTTCGGAAAGGCATTTTCAAAATATTATTAAAATTATTTCATTCATAAATTAAAAATAAATCCATTAAATTTACATAATACATACCTAAGGGTGTTGACGGGTCCATTTTCAAACAAAGTAATAATAGCGAATTTGAAAAAACACAAACTAATTTGTTAGGATAATATTTAATTTAAAAATACACGCGTCTACCGCAGTTACATAAACCTTATGCCTGTGGGTTTGGTAGAAACAAAAGCATGCATGAAGATTAAGTGGTGGGGGAAAACATGCCCCTATTCATGCTGATAATAAATAGCAACAATACTTTGTTCGATGCGACATTTTATTTTTTTCATTTTTTGCCATTTTTCAGGGTATCTTGCCACACTGTGCGTCCGTATAACGACGAGTAAGGTCTTTTGGGCTCGTTCCTACCGAATATCTTTATGCCTGCTCCTAATTCCATTTCATCGCAACTGCAGGATGGAGTGGTGAAATGCGACCAATTATATAACCAACATGGTTATGTATGTAACTGTCGTTACATGGTACATAACGAGGGCAATAATCATACGAAGGATTGAATGAAGCACTTCAATCCTGTGGTATATACGATATTTTTTGTACTTTCGATTAATGCGAAAACAGAATAGTCGAAAATTTAAAAAAATGCTTTCAACGTGACAATTCAGCCTTTTAGAATACCAAAATTAAAATAATAGTTTCCGGTGGTGACAAAACATACTTGGTAACCTAGCAATTTAAAAATATATATCAGTAGCGATATTTGAAAATAAAGCAAATGTTTAAAAGTTTTTGCTCCTGAATTTATAAAAGAAATTTGTTCGTTTTTTGTGTCATTATTAGAAGATAAAATACTTAAAGTGATGTTGGATGAAACTCAAGAGGCTGACGACAAAACAAATGCAGAAATATTACTACCGAAATCAAGAAAGGTATACGAAAAAGAGTACAATTAATTTTTAAAATGGTGTAAGGAGAGGTAAACCGAAGAAAACTTTACAGAAACTATGCTCTTAGCATGTTTTTCGAAAAATTAAAAATAAATAAAGGCTCTACCATGTGAAGTAAATATTCTTATTCTGAAAGAGACATAAGTTTACAAAAGAATATTGATATAAGCAAGTATTGCAAATTATTAACCTTCATAGAAAGAAAAAATGAAAATTATATAAAAAATTAAAAATTTTGACGTGGATGAAACAAAACACACTTGGTAACCTAGCAATTTATAAATATATATCAGTAGCGATATTTAAAAATAAAGCAAATGTTTAAAAGTTTTTGCTCCTGAAATTATAAAAAAACATTTGTTTGTTTTTTGTGTCATTATGAGAAGATAAAATACTTAAAATGATGTTGGATGAAAGAATATTGATATAAGTAAGTATTGCAAATTATTAACCTCCATAAGGGGAAAAATGATAATTATAAAAAAATTAAAAATTTTGACGTTGGTGAAATCCAGAGGAAATCTCCTGACGAACAATTTATAAAGGTTAAGGTGAAAAATTCATGCAAAATCATTAAAATTTATTCTATATTTATGAATTTTACATTGTAGGTTGAGCTTATAGTCGGAGTAGCAGGAGCCTGCTGAAGTATAGAATTGCTCAATCTTTACCACTGATGTCCAAGTAGGCTCCTCAGTACTGATCATTATTAAAACTACTTAAACTACACAAACAATAAATGTACTATGTAATCCGATGAAAAAAACACGTTTAACGAATTACCTCAAAAAATTGCTTCGTTTTTAAATCTTCCAGAAGCAACGTCATATACTTACTAACCACTGTCTCCAACGTACATCCGCACCTCTTCTAGCCGATGCAAGAGCTGACATAGATATTTAGATAAAACCACTAAGGTACGAACAAAACCATAGGTATGCGCAACCATTAACAGCGGAGGGGATCCATAGTCGCGAATTGGTGTGCACAGGTTCGCACAACTGATGCGTGATCGTGTTCGCCACTTAGTGGTTTTATCTGTATTGAAGAGACATGGTGGATGGAAATCAGCATCAGTGGCTGAGGGACACATCGAGCATTTATCAAACAATAAAAAACGTATTGTCGAGAAAATGTTAGGAGATGACAATCGAAATAAAATCGAAACTAATAAAATTCAATATTCTAGTACTGCAGAATGTACTTCTGTTTCTGTCAACAATGACAACGCTTTTCAGTTTCCCACCGCTGTAGGTTTTTCTGATATTCATTCAATAAATAAAGTTAATATTTTACAAAAAATGGACACTGAAATTAATCGTTTATTTAACATAGTTAATTGTTAAAATGTAAACACATAAATTTCAAAAAGTAGTGGTTATTGTTTATTTTTCATTTAATCTCTTGAACTTTTGTAATTATTTAATCCCACCACCGGCATTAAAAGTAACACGAAAAAATTAATTATACACTTTTACTCCCGAAAGTGCAAAAAATATTTCTTTTTTCGAAAATACGATATATTTTATAAAACAATAAGCTTGTATAAAAATGTTTTACCTCCATTGTCGAAAATATAATTATATCTTTTTTTATTTTCGTGGTTCGAAATCAAACTTCTTGAAATAATAACTCGGGATTAGTTGCACCAATATAGCTAAAGCTAGAGATAGACAAATTTAACAAATAAAACTGCAATGTCGTATGTTGTTCCGTTCTTGACATATCATTAACAAAATTCTTTTCACATATTTATGTACAAACATCAAATATAAATCTACAAATAGTAACAAATGCCTAAGAGGGCTCTCCAAAACGTTAAGATATGTCGAAAATTCTGACTTTTTTTTGGAGTGAATATTAACTTAATACAGTATGTGTCCTGAATTATTAAACATGGTTCTCTTAAATAGCAAAGTTGCAATGTAAAGCAGAGGCAAACAACATGTTGAATTCATTTGCCATCTTAGATGTCGTGCGGTCAACAGTGCACACTGCCCGCGATAAGATGCCAAATTTCAGTCTACCTTCCTAATGTACTATGTCTAATGTTTTAATATACATAGTGTATGGTTCCCCTCGAGCAGGATGTTAATAAAACAGCGCAATGTTCAATGATCCATTCAGAGAATAAGCATTCTATCGCGAAACAATTTGTCTTATGTATTATAGCGAAATAACACCGGTGATGAGGACGGTACTTCAGAAATTCATGGATTCATGAATTTGCAACCCACACACACTGAAACGTTCAACAATGTTGCATCGATTCTTAGTATTTGTTACCGCTAAAATGCAGGAATCGGCGTCCCGTCTTGACCGGTAAGCCGTGATGCCAAAACAACTGATGCTGATGCGAGTTTCAACACGTAGAGACTTGCATCGATACAAATTGTTTTACAGCCTCTTTTCTATTCAGATTGAACTTGCGGTCAAGATGGAAAATGAACGAGAATTTTGTGAGGAGTTTATAAACATTTAACTGTTACGTCCTTATTTATGGAATATTAAATCCAATTACTATTCTAACAGAAGCTTAAGAAAATTGTATTTACAAGGAATTAATGAAAACATGTAAAAAGCGATTCGAAAACTGACAAGAAATTAAGTACTAAGTTCATAAAAAAAGTGGTAGTCGAGTGACGATCTGTATGTTCCCAGGCCTATGTATTTCGATAAGATAACTTTTATATCAGATTGTGAAATCCGCATTTTTCTTATCTACTATGTTTGACTGATTTTGATATACTGCTGCATCAGATAGAAAATTTTCTTGAGAATCAGGCGAACTGGAACCGATGCATGTTTCATGAAACCTAGATTTCGATGCATGCTCGCTGCACGTTTCAGTGTGTGTGGGCCGTGCAAACTACAATATTCAAAAAACCATTCCTTGTTATAAAAACAACCGTAAAAGTCTACACAAACTCCAGTACTATTATTATTTAACAAAAAGATAAAAGTTGCCACCTCTTAAATTTAATTGCATCGTATTAAGAAATTGCCTGTTATAATGTGCATTACATTATCCATCTATTTTCAGTCGCCAACAAAATCGTTAGAATTAAAAAACAATTTGAGGTACTTGATAATAGCAAGAAAAATACTGCAGACCATTAAATAGTTAAAATCAATAATTATTTGAAGTCATGTTCACTGCCATGCCTACTCAACAATAAAATTATTTTTAATTAATTTATTGTTTATTTTTATATACAGTCATAAAAATAAATTGTGAAACAAAACTAATATTATGTTTATAATTTATAGACGATCATGATTAAAAATTCAGCATCAGGAAATAATATTGTAAATGGTATAAACCAAGTGCTAATTTTGTACAAAATAAAAAATAAATCTCTGTTATTTATTCATCTCATTATGAAGAAGTATATTGAAGGCATAGTTTATTTGAAATTCAAAAGTATAGAGGATCTGTGGATCTGATCAAGTGGTAACGACACTGGCCTCTCACTCTGGAGTTCCGGGTTCGATCCCCGGCAGAAGAGCCCGGATTTTTTCTAAACTAGAAATTAATCCTAGCATACTCGGACATTGGGTATGTGTCCTTTGTCTCTAAATGTGTAGCCCTTTCCCGCACAAGGTATCTTGCGGTGTCCTCAGAGACAAAGGGGGTTGTATTACCTGTGATGTTTTAATTTTTTTATTTTAATTTTAAACTATAAAAAAAGGAAAATATTAGAATTACAATAATTATTTGTCATATCATTTGTAAGTTATGAACTATTACCTGCTTTTGTTATTATTACAGATATTTAAAAATCTAATTGCATTTCACAATGTTTCCTTATATAATAATATAAAAAAAGCTGAAAAATATTTTGAATGCTTTTGGAGGGAAAATTAATAAATTAGGAAATTTACATTTACTATCATTGTCTACTCTATTACACACCATCATGCGGCAGTAGACTGTATTCACTTAAGAAAAGGACATTTACGTCATTAAATGATAATGACTTTGTAATTCAGAGCACTGTCTCTGGCGTCCCACAATGATTCACAATCAGAAAATAGTGATCAAAAATCATAGTGTCGTAATGAAAACTATATGGAGGGTAAAAATTGGTACGCATAAGTCTTTTGGGTTGTAGAATTAGATTTTGGGGTTAATTTTAAAATTCAGTAAATATTTCACACTTAAAATAAGGGTTGCGTGAAAAAAATACGAAATGTATAATTTATGTTAAATCATAATATTTAAAATTTGAATTACACTGTCCAGTGGTGGATTCAAAAAACTATCTCTTAAGAATGGATAATTTGTGATAAAACTGAAATAAGACCAAATTTATGAAAATAATAAACTTTAACATTTTTAGAAGCGCACAAACTAGTTATGAGGTGTCTTCTTATATTTGCAAGTTAAGATTCATTTACTACCAAAGCAGGTTATGTTGGAATACATAAGACACATGAATAGTTAGAGAGGTGTATGTTAAATGAAAAAAAATTGTGACAAACTTCATCAGCATCAGATTCTTCGTTGTTTCCTTTTTCATCTACCTGTGTTCTTTCAGGGATTCTCAGCAAGTCTAGTACTTCAGCTTCTTCAAGCAGTAGTTGTCAAATTCAACAAAGACAACAATGGTTTAGAAATACCCCAAATCTTTTGATGAGTTCTTCATCAACCCATGTTACTTCGACAGCCAAGGCTGGATTTATAAAGAATTTTCTGACAGTGTTACCATCATGACTCGTACCAAAACCTTGCCTGAACACATCCACGATAAGACCTATTCGTTGACGGAATGCATTTCGTATTAATTGCTTCCTATTCTCTAATTGAGTTTATGTATCTTAGGCACCTTCCATGTTTTCAATTGTATTATATAAGAAACATGTAACATGTATTCAAAAAAGTGTATCTATGCATGTGATACTGATAATACAAATATGTATATTTCTTGTTGTTCTCTTAAAGTTTTTATTTCGTTTACTTGCGGAATAGTTGCATTGCATATGTAATATTTCATTGCGGAAGTATCCGCTAAAGTAACTAATTCTACACTGGTTTTAGTCTTACGTAAATCATCTATTTTTCTTCGTTTTATAACATCAGAACAATCTTCAAATTCTTTCGATGGACCTTCACGGAAATTTGAGCTGCTTGTGGAAGATACATTCGACGATATTAGGTAACGTTTTTCATATTTTGGACCACTGTGGCGTCCCAAGTTCAAATAAGAATTTACTATAGAAAAGCTAAGATCTCTATGGAATCACAAAACAGCTGCTGATTAGTTGGATGTATTGACGCTGGTTATCTGAAAGTATAGAAGTTTTTATGCTGTTATAACAGAGATCACACTTAGGCAGTAATTGCGTCAATATTAGGAATAAAATAGGGTACTTAGGTTCTTATGAAAGGGTCTTAGGAGAACCTAATATACCCAAATATTTTATTCTATTTCTAATAATCACGCAATGACTGCCTGATGTGCGGTCTCTAGTTATAACGTATGTCCTATTCTATGTGAATACAATCTATATCGGTTTGGTTTATTTCATTATATTTTTTGCATTCTGTTATACCCTCATTCATAAAGATTTTACACTGAACCCAAATCGATTCCTTCAATATTATCTAAGTTTCCTACTTGAAATTCAGTATTTGTCATTTGACCAAATAGTATAACACAACATTGTAGCCTTTCTACTTTGCAGGCTTTCCTAAACTTTTAGGATAGAGTAATTAAAAGCTCCTGTTAGGTTCCTTAGCACTAAAAATTAAAAATATTCGGTACATCACATTCTTCCTACTTTAATACTACGGACTCGTGTAGTTTCTGCATCTTTACTGAATTTAGTGGTTGGAATAAAATATTTACATGCAGGGAATGGAAATTAGTAAATGTATGCTGATATTGGATTAATTTTTATAAATATATATTAGATTGGTTTCCTCTGGGGTTAGATTAAGGTTGTGCACCTCCATCTACACACCGATCCTTCTGAGGGATGTATTTACCCTAAATATGTGGGTCCCTTCGTCTGTGGCCCTTACTACCACTGTCTGGTCGTCAGCATATCCTACTGCCTGTGCCCCTTCCAATAACTTCAGCTTTAGAACTCTGTTGCATAGAATGTTCCCATAGAGCCTTTCCCAAAACTAAGCTTTGTGAACCCCCGCTGTCATCTCCATTTCCTCATATTTTTATCTTCCTGTTTCTAGAGTATATGCTGGTGATACTAACAAAATAGCTAGATATACACCTTCTCTGTAATTCTTCAATGATAATACTCCACGTGACGGATTTGAACTCATTCTTCACGTCTAACGTGACTAATACACAGTATTTCTCTCTAGTTTCTTTTACTGTATTGGTAACAGTCTCTCCCTTATCAGAATTTATATAGTTTCCAGCATGCTGGGAACTTTTTCCTTTATACCAGCTTATTCATGTCTCCAATATTATTCTTGGAGCGATCTTGATACTCTTTTTTTATTTCTGGAGGTATGCCGTCCGGGCTGGGGGCCTTTCCGTTCTTCATCCTCTTTACTGCCCGTATCAGGGTCATATTGCTTTCCGTAGTGCATTCTATCTCTCTTTCTAATATCGCTCGAAATTTCCCCTTATCGATTTCGGATTTGGTGCATTCGGCTTGTCTATCCTTTGCTTTTTTACTTTTTACTTTAAAATAGATGTATCTGTGATTGCTGAGTGTCTCTTCCTCCCCAGTTCATAGTGTCTTCGGCTGTAGTCTGGGTTGAGCATATAATATCAATGTAATTTTCACTGTTTCTTCTCACGAAGGTTGGTGTACTGCCGTCGTTGTGTACCGTTAGATCCATAGTCGACATCCATTCTGTCCATTACTCGCCTCTTTTGCATGAGTCTGAGAAGGGGGGAGCCCCGCTGAGGGTATTTTACGATTAATATCCTAGTGACGATAGTCTCACTGGGTCTACTAGTTATGTCTTCCATTAGATGGTCTATATCTTTCTTATCGTATTCTGCAACTGCGACAGGTTCTAACACGTTGGTTATATAACTGGCCGCAATCAAATTGTCCCGAACGGAAACTAAAGGTACTACTGCCTACTGCCAAAACATATTGCACCCCAAACCATCACTTTGCGTGTAAGGGTAGTATAACATTTAACTAGTTCAATTAGTTGTAAATTTCACAAACAAAATCAGGACTCGTCACTAAATACCACATGATGTCATTCCACTTGCTCATTGTATGAATTCAGTTTCAGGGCCCGAAGAAATGGAGTGAGAGGTAACCATAAAAATAGTTCATATGAACGAAGCCCAAAAAATTGAATCGTCGAGATGCGGACGCCACAGCTATTCTTTGTCCTAAAGTTCCCATCCAGTCATTTCCCACAATTTGTGTATTTTCCCGTGTAGCATAGGCAAGAAATGACATAGACCTAGAACAAAAAATAAATAGTAAGTGGAAACATAGTATGAATATCACGCCACAATATTCCACTATGCTAAACTTAGGATGCATAATGAGAAATCGGCATACAAATTTGCATTTCATCTAATAATTCGGACACAGGGGATACATGCCGTTCCGGCACATACATCCATTAGATATCCATGGATAAGAATATCTGATGGATGTCTAATGAATATCCACTAGACTTCCATACGTCCCAAAACTTCTAATAGATGTATGTGTGCTGTGTAGGTGCTCTAATTAATACTTTTTTTGTAATAACCAATTTTATTATAGGAACTTACAAGTAACAAAAAGTATTTTCCAATTTGATGGAGCACCAGCTTTTGAAATGCAAATTAGAAATTAGTTTAATCGAAACTGCTAAGGTAGAAGAATTGGTCGCAGCAGATCTCTAGCGTGGTTTCTAAGATTACTGAATTTATCTTTAGATTTTTATCTCTGTGGCTCCATGAAACATTTGGTGTAACAAAATAAAATTAGTACGCGACAAGAATTAATCGAACGAATTAACATAGCTGCCATTATTAAAAGAAACAATTTGATATCAAGTTACCAATTCAATCATTCATTCGGCACAAACAAACTTGAACACAAAACAATCTGTAAATTTTTTAAAGGTATGTTAAAATATGACTAAAACTTCTAATAAACATGGTCCCTAAAATGCTTCCTTTAAGAGTTATAACAACCATTCGAAAAGTGCTTATAAACTGTGCATTTTCTAACGAAACTTTTGAACGGTTTGATCCATGATCTCCAATTTTGGAATATACAGGGTGGGGCAATAGTAGGTACGTCCGACTTCGATATGTCGAGTTCTATAATAGCTAGAAACTTGATTTAAAAATATGAATAAACTAGATAAAAAAGTCTATAACCGGAAATCATTTTCTAATATACAGGGTGAGCCAAGACGATTCTACAGGGTCAACTAGCATTTTCTTTAAATGGAATACCATGTATGTCAGAATATTTTTGAAATCTCTTTGTAGCCTCCTTCTGCTCCCTGTATTATTATTGACTCTCTCCCAACCATTTGGATGTAATGATTTTTTTTGTTGAAATT